AAGAGAATGTGGGAGGGGGAGGGGCTGGGAGGCTGCTGCAGCGGTGCAGGTGGGAGATGTTAGCCCAGGTGGGGCCCTGGTGATGGGGAAAAGTGGGAGGATCAGAGAGGTAGGCCTGTGGGACTGGGACACAGATGGGGGATGGAGGGTGGAGAGAGAGGGGAGATGGAGGGAGAAGGCCACACTCCCGGGTTTCTGGCTTGCCCAGCCCGGGGGATGATGAGTCGCTGCCTGAGACAGGTAAACCTCTGGAGGAGGGTCGAGTTTGGGGAAGATCATGAATCCAGTCTAAGGACTGTTGCAGGGAGATATGGGGTTGTCAGGGGGATGTGGGGGCCTGGAGCTCCGAGGAGCAATCCGGTCTGGTGCTATTGATGCTGCGGGTGTGGACGGTATCATCCAGGGAGGGGGCGCAGAGGGAGGGGAGGGGCTGGCCCCCAGGACTCTGACCTTTCCAGCTGGGCAGGAGAGAATGAGGTGCCGTGGCCAGCGTGGGAGGACAACCAGGAGAACGTGATGGTGTGCAGGCCAGGAGGAAGAGAAGGTTTCCCGGGAGGGAATGGTCAGCGGAGGACAGGATGCTCTCAAGAGGACAATTGATGTTAAGACCCCAAAATGTCCTGTAGTCATCAGTGTGCGATCATTGGTGAGTTTAGGGGGGAAATTCAGGAGTCTGATGGTGTGTGGGGGTCGAGGAGTGAGCAAGGGCAGCAAATGGTGAGAGGAAGGAGCTCGTTGGATGTCGTAGTGGATGCTCTGGGCACCGTTCAGATCCCCCTCCTTCCGGGACTGAAGCACGAATTTCCCAGCTGTGGGAGGGTTGGCAGCTGACAGCTGTCATCAGAGCCTCCCTCCAGGACAGGCCCTGGGCTGAAGAGAGCCTCTTTGCCCAAATTCCTTTGCACCCCCTGCCACCCGCCAAGGCAGTCCTCATCCAGTGACTGGTGGATAAGGCAGTTTAAAGGCCTGGCACCCTTCCCACAATGTGGGACAACGCTGAGGCTGTCCCAGCCCCAGAGTTTCCCGTGGGGTCGCCTGAGGCCTGGGACGGGCCTGCATCACACTTAACTTTTCCCTTGGCCCTATCCTGCGGCGCTCATCCCCCACAGGTGTGGGTCCTGAGAGCAGCCCCAGTAAACTTCCTACTCGCTTCTCTCCATTTCCTGAGGAATTCAACCTGAGACAGCAGTTAGTTGAGTAAGAGAGACAAGTGGCTAGTGATAGAGGATACTTCCTGAAAAAAGAAGAGATTAGCTGTACCCTGGAAAGAAGTCTGCTGTGAGGTACCAGGGGCAAGGAAGCAAGGAGGATGTGGGGAGGGAGCTCTGAGCTTTGACGGTGGGACGTTAAGGGGTTTCCATCATTTCTATGAGATGGAGGTGGAGGTGAGGTCATCTATTGAGAGAGAGAGAGAGAGGGTTTGAGGAGAATGAACACCTGACACAGTTGTTGCAGAAAGGGGGAGAGACAGAATTGTTCTCCTACATTGTTGATGGGAATGTAAAATGGTGCAGCCGCTATAGAAAACTGTAGCTTGACAAAGACTGTAACTTGACAGTTCCTCAAAAAGTTAAACATCGTGTTCCTGTATGACCCAGCAATTCCACTCCTAGGTATATACCCAAGAGAATTAAAACTATGTGTATGGACTGAATGTTTATGTCCCCCCAAATTTGTATGTTGAAGCCCTAATCCCCAATGTGATGGTATTTGGAGGTGGGGCCTTTGGGAGGTGATTAGGTTAGATGAGGTCATGAGGATAGGGCCCCCATGATGGGATTAGTGTCTTTATAGGAGGAGGAAGAGACGAGCTCTCTTTCTCTCTCTCCCTCTTCCCACCATGTAAGGACACAGCAAGAAGGCAGCCGTCTGCAAGCCAGGAAGAGAGCTCTCACCAGAACCCGGCCATGCTGGCCCCCAGACCTGGGACTTCCAGCCTCCAGAACTGAGAGAAATACTTTCTGTGGTTTAAGCCGCCAGTCTATGGTATTTTGTTATGACAGTCTGAGCTAAGACAGTATGCCTACATAAAAACTCATATGTGAATATTAATAGCAGCGTTGCTCATAATAGCCAAAAAGTGGAAAGAACCCCGATGTCCATCGATTAATGAATGGATTAAAAAAAAAGTGGTATATCAGGGCCGGCCAGGTGGCGTAAGTGGTTAAGTGCTCGTGCTCCACTGGGGCACTTAAATGGCCCGGGGTTCGCCGGTTCGGATCCCGGGCGCGCACCGATGCACCGCTTGGCAAGCCATGCTGTGGTGGCGTCCCATATAAAGTAGAGGAAGATGGGCATGGATGTTAGCCCAGGGCCAGTCTTCCTCAGCAAAAAGGAGGAGGATTGGCAGATGTTAGCTCAGGGCCGATCTTCCTCACACACACACACAAAAAGTGGCATATCCAAAGAATAGAATATTATTTGGCAATAAAAGAGGGTGATATGCTGACACAGACTACAACATGGATGAACCTTGAACACATGCTAGCCCATAGCCTGGTGGGGAACAGACAGACACGGAAGCCCAATTACGATCCAGTGAGGCAAGTGTGATGAGAGACAGATGCTCATAGGAGGGAGCTAGCGGGGTAAGGGGAACAGGCGTGAGCTGAGGCTGAGAGGAGGAGGAGGAATTAGCCAGGTGAAGGGGAGAAAGGCAGGGCCACTGTCAGCCCAAAGGCATTGAGGCAAGAAACACCCTGGAATGTGCTGGGAGCCAGAGGCCCGGGGCCAGCTGTGTGCAGAGCGGTGGGAGATGTGGCTGGGAGGGGCCTTGAGGTCACGTACTGGTCAGATGGCTGCTGGGGGGAGGATGGAACGGGGAGGGGAGGAGCCCATTCAGAGGCTGCTGGGTCATCCAGATGAGACACTGAGGCAGGGTGGGGGAGGTAGATCTGGGAAATGTTTAGGAGGTAGAAGATAGGGACTCGGTGGCTGACTGGATCTGGGGGGAAGTAGACTTGGTGAATGAGGTGCCACGCCTAGAAATCAGAAGGGCTGGTTTTGGAGTTCATCGCAGGTAGGTTGCATTGGGGAGTCTGGCCGCCCTCCATGCAGGTGGACATTTGCACTTGGAACTAGGGACAGAGGGGTCCAGGCTGGTGATAGATTTGGGTGACACATGTGTTGGCATCTCGGGTCTCTGGGGGACAGTGACACACCTTCAGAGCACCCCGCGCTTCTTCCTACCTCTTATACAGACATAGTTAACCAAGTATTCAGGTGTTTAACATCTATCCAGTTCCACCCTGACACCAGTGTGACAGGGGTCCCTGCCCTGCCATGGGTCCCCCGTTTTAGAAGGCTCTACTCTGGACCTTCTCTGTGCCTCCCCCCACAGGACAAGGAATCTGTGGGGCCTCCTTGGAGCCCAGGCCCTTCCCTTTAGACCATGCTCCTGATATGTGGGACCCCAGAATTCCCTGCCCAAATGGCCCCAGGCCATTCCCGCAAGTGGACCATGTGGAGTGGCCAAGGGGCAGCAGGTTGCAGGGGGTCCGGCAGCCTGTGCTCGTGGACCGGAGTGTGCACCTGTGTGCACATGGACCTCCCCTTGGGGCAGGACAGCTCTGGGGTGGGAAGATACGGGGGCAGGCTCAGAGCAGAGCCGGGTCTTCTCATGTCACCACATTTGGGCGTGGAATTCAAAAGAGTCAAAGAAGTTTACATCAGAACCTGGCCCTCCAGGTCAGCATGAAGGTATATTTACTGAAATAGGAGAATAGAACGTATTTTATTGAACATTGTTAGCTTGATTTATAACTTTACGATATTTCGACACATGGTGTGAGGCCTCCATTTGTACTCTTTCCAGCCCCACTGGCACTAGGGGTGCCTGGGTCAGCCTCACCTGCCAGACCGTAAGCTCCCCGAGGGGGGCAGTGTGCAGTAGCCCTGCCCCAGGGCGCAGTGCCTGGCACAGAAGAGCGGATAATAAATATTGGCTGTGAGAAACACACGAGATAGTCCAAGTAAGATGCCTTGGCGTGGTGCAAATGTCCAATAAATATTAGCTATTATTGCTTGTGGAATAAACGATGGGTGGGTGGGGCAGGGGGCTGAGACCCATAAACTGAGGTGGTTTGTGTACCAGGGAAGGGGGGCTGCCGACCCCAGGGTTCATACTTCTTTTCCTGAGGTTGTGCCCTCCTTCTCCCCACCCTCTAGGCCTCTCCCAGCTCTTCATGGCACGGTGGGCACCAGGTGGGCATACTTGACAGCCAGGGCACTGAGAGGGGCTGGGGGGCTCCTGCCAGTGCTCTGGGCCCCCCGCCAAAGAACAGTTGTGATAGGTTTCCTCTTTGCTTTCAGGAACCTCCTCAGGCCCAGACAGAGCCCCCCAGCTTAGTTTCTTTTGCTGTACCCATAAGCCCATGCTGGGTCGGGGGGTAGCTAACAGGATCCATTTCACCCTCACAGTAGGCTGTGCTCCGGTGTGAAAGGGGCCTGAGCTAGGGAGTCAGAATCACCCACTGGACCCTGAACAAGTCACTCTGCCCCTGAAAGCCTTAGTTTCCTCATCTGTAAAATGGGACTGCGTGTGGAAATGGTGCATGTCAAGTGGCAGGTGCAGGGTACACATTATTGAAGAGGAAGAACCCTTGCACAGAACACAAGTGGATCAGGGAGAGCAGAGGCCCAGAACCCCAGACAGCAAGGCAGATGAAAATGGTCCACAGCCAGCCAGTGAGAGGGCCCGGCAGGTTTAGCTGCCCACGCTGGAGGCCGGGGTCAGTCCTGTTTCGGCAGCAGGGAAGCTGTCGGTTGCTGCTTCATGACTTGAACAGTGCCACGCACAGGGCTGGGGCCCTAAGGGGCTCCGTGAAGGCCTCAGCCAGGCGCAGGCCGGAAGAAGCCAGGAAGCCCCTCACCCAAAATCCTCCTCACAGCCTGGGCCGTCCCAGAAAACAACTCTCACCCTCCCACGTTCTCACACACGCACAGAAGGTGGCGCTGTAATAAAGAACAGAACCCAATCAACCCCTAAACAGAGCAGGCCAGGGAGAAAAATCACATTTTGCGAACTGCCCATCAGGGGTCACCATACTGCACCGAGGGGCGCAGAATTCACACCCGTCTGCGGACGTAGCAGGCGGAGGGTCTCGGAGATAAGAGTCCAGCCGCGCGGCCTCCAGCCGCCCAGCTTCTGTGGCAGGACCACCGCCGCTCCCAGTCCCGGGGCCGCAGCGCCAGCAGCGTGGGCGGGGTAGGGCCGCGGTCAGTGCGGCGGGAAGATGTCTGAGCACTGCTGCAGGATGAGCTCCACCACCTGGTTCTGGAACACCATGGTCATGGGCATGCTGGTTTCCTCCGTCTCCGGCCGCAGCAGCGTGGGCCCGAACACGATGGCCACGCTCTGCACCGACATGCGGTTCTGTTCGCCGTGCTCGATCACCCTGCAGGGGGCGCGGGGTGGAGTCAGAGCCCAGAGCCCGGGTCGGGGGAGGCGTAGGGCGTCCCGCCGCCCCATTCCCGCCGGCTCGCCCGCTCACCGGCACAGGTGCCGGAAGAGCACCCGCAGCGTGTCGTGATTGGGGGCGGGCAGCGAGCGCACCAAGTCCCGCACGCAGCGGCTGCGCTGGGCCTGGTCCTGCAGCTCTGGGGAAGGGAAGGGTCAGAGCGAGAGGGAGGGTCGGCTCGGTGAGGGGAACAGAAGGGGCTGACTCCCCGTGTGTGGGGGGGTCCTGGTCCAGGGAGTGCCCGAGGCAGGCCAGCTCCACCCATACCCCCTCCGCCCCACCTCCCCCGGCGCTCACTGATGGCCGCGATGAACTGGCGGAAGTGCGAGAAGGGGAAAAGGGGCTCGGGCAGCTCTCGAAAGAAGAGCTTCAGGGCGCCGGTGATAACGTGGACATCCTCCCAGCGGCCGTCGTTCAGGTCCAGACGCTCATCTGCGGCAGGGGGCGAGCGGGGGGAAAAGGAGGTCAGCCCCCTGCGCGCCTTCAAGCCCTGGGGCAGGCACTGGGACGGGCCTCACCGTGGTCCACCCTATGGCGCAGCTTCTGGATGGTGGCCAGGTTCCCACTGATGCGGTACAGCCCGTCGATGTCCAGCCCTGGAGCAGAGGGAGGCGCTGACCCCGCGGTTGGTGGGATGGGGCTAAAGCCCCATGATTCCTACACAGGGGCTCCCGTTCTATCCCGCGCAACCCTGCGCCCACCCAGGGGTCTCCAGCATGGTCCTGGAAGCAGGCTGCCGGAGAATGCCCTGCCCAGCCCGCCGCGCGTACGTACCCCGGGCCTCGACGGCGAAGATGCACTGCTGCACGAAGCGCGGCACCTGGCTCCGCTCGCGCTCACACAGCGCGGCCAGCGCGCAGCCGAACACCTGGTCTGGGGGAGAGGCTCGTCAGCGCCGCCCGCCCGAGCCCGCGCCCGCGCCCCGCTCTCCCGGCGCCCCCCGCCCCGGTACCTTTGATGTAGCCCTTCTCCCGCAGCGACTGCAGCGTGGGCCGCCTCAGGAGGAACTTGCGGAGCTTGTACCGGACCTTGCTCAGGTCACTCTCCAGGCCCGCGTGGGGCGCGGCTGCCACACGGGGAGGCAGGGACGAGTCAGTCGGTGCGCCAGCGGAGTTGGCCCGGCAGGCCCCAGCCGGGTCGTCACCACCCCTAAAAGATGCCCTCCGCCCGCCTCCCCCTCGCACACCTGAACCGGGCCGTGCCTCATCCTCCCGCCAGCTTCCCAGGCGCTCGCTGGACCCGAAGTCCACGCTGCTGCTCTCGCTTTCCTCCTCCGGGGGCAGGTCTGCGGACTAGAATCACACAGCCTCAGAGAGGCAGGGCCCAGGGCCAGCTGGAGGTCCTTCTGGAATGGGGTGAGGGACCCGAAGAGCCCTCCCAGCAGGCCTGGCCTGGAGACCCCCAGGCAGAGTGCACTCTTCTCTTAACCAGGTTAACTTCCCTCAACTCCACCAGAGAACCTCAGAACCTTCACCTCCCTTAGCTGCAGGGAGCCCTTCAGGTGTTGGAGACAGTCATCCTATTCTCCCCCACCCTTTCTTATCCTGGCCACCCCTACCCACCCCCCAGTTCCTGGCCCCTTTTCCCCAGAATTTTCCTTAGTTCCTCTGTACACACTCCACTAGGTCAGCATGCCTCAATATGTGGGTCCCAGTTCAAGCTTACAGTTCCAGTTGGGGCCAGAGCACTGCCAACAACCTGACCAGCGTCACCTCCCTGGATCTGGATTCCTACCTCTACTTATACAGCCAAACACTGCACCCAGTGTTGGCTCACAGGGAATTAAGGATCAAAAAGCTCCAAGTTATTTCCAGGTGAATAGCTGTCAGAGAGGGCCTGCCCCTCTCTACTTATGCAATGGATATTTTGACCGGAAAAAATAGTAGACTCTTTAATTCAATCCTTTTAAATTATATCTTTTAGTTTCAGACTGTCATTCCAGCCTGAGGCTGTTTCTCAGAATATTTTTCCTCCTGCCTTCCTTGAAATGGGATGCTCCTCTAGGATGTGCCCTCACCCCCACCTGGAAAGTCCTCCTGCAGCATCAACCCCAGAGGCTGGATTCACATACTGAAGAAGGGCTGTTTCTTCAGCAGCCCATCTGCCATCTGGCCATAAGGGGGGACTGCATCTGCCGGAAGGGGTACTCGCCCACTGGTGCCATGGAGCTCCTGGTGCCTGAGTCAAGGGGCCCCCCTACAGTGGGCACAGCTGCCTTGCATAATGGCTGGCCATCCCCTCCCCACCAGCCCCAGAAGCCCCAGGCTCTGCCTACCAGCTCCTGGATGCCCTGGGTGATGGCCTTGTGCCAGGCGCTGATGATGGCCTCGGAGTCATGCTGGATCAGGTACTCTGAGCCATCTCGGCTCCGCAGCTGGAGGGACACAAGTCACTCAGTCATCTCTGTTCCCTGGGTTGGCCCCAGGGCTAGGCCCCAGGGGAGATACAGAGAGGGAAGTGATCTGTTCCTGTCCCCAAGAACTCAGAGCCTAATAAAGCAAGCACTTCACCCCAGGCCAAGGTATTCTGCCCCATTAAAAGCAGTAGGTGACAGCATCTCTGTGTACAGATGGGCAAACTGAGGTTCAGTGAGTTTAAGCAACTTCCTCGTGGACACAGCTAGTGAGTGATGGAGCAAGGATCTGAGTGCAGCAGATCTGCATGGCTCAACTGTCTGGTACACTTTCCCCTGCACCATCCTACCTCCCATGAGCCACAGAACATGGCAGGCCTCACCCAGAGCACCAGCCAGCAAAAAGGTCAACTAAAGAAACTCTCTGGGGGAGGCCTCTGGCTGCTGGAACTAACAGGAAAGAAAATGCTGGGAGAGAGGATCTGAAAGCAGATCACGGCTGATCCAGAGAAAGCAAGTGACCCCCTCCTCCATGCACATACTGAGGACCTAGGAGTGTTGTCCCCACCTTTGCAGCCAGGAGTCCCCACCATCTCCCACACTCCAGCCTGGGCAATGCACCCTCTTACAGCCCACTTCATCAGAAGCATAAATTCAACAGAACTCAAGAGGGAAACTTTCTCCCACTTTCTGACTACTCAAAGCTCTTTCTGACGAGCAGGCTGGAGGGTACCAACCCACTTACACTTGTTCACTCCAAGGAAATATGCACACGGTTTGGAGAGGTCTGTGAGCTAATCTCTCTCCACATCTCTACCTTGTTTTGCCTGATCCTGGCTTTTCAGTGGATTGTGCCAGCTCATCATGTGTTTTTGCTGTGAGCTGCCTCAAAACTTTTGGGGACCTAGGTGAGGGTAAAAGTAGTTTAAAAACAAGACAACACGTGGACAGTGGAGGGTATGGCGCTGCGAGGGTCCTTGCTGGGCCCCGCCTGGTCTGTCTCTTTTTGCTGGGGGAACCTGAGAAACGTGTCCACTGCCCTGATTTATTTGCTGGGGACCCAGTCCAGCTGGAGGCAGGGCTCTGACCAGCCAGAGCAGGTTTCCCAGGCTGTCAGAGTAAGTGGCCAGGGACAGGAGTCCCCTGTGTGTCTCAGGCCAGAGCAACGGGGATGAGGGCTGTCCTAGGCATGACAGAGTTTTGTCCCCCAGAGATCCCTACTCCTCACCTCCCTCCGGGGCCAAAGACTGGTGAACTCAGCTCCTGGAGAAGGAACTGCAGAATCCGTGATGCCACAAACACTGCAGACAGATCTCCCAGGTCGGGGTGGCTTTGGCTTTGACCCTGAGAACTCCAGCCCCAACTTTCCCCAGGTCCCCCTTCTTGGGGCTTGCCCAGTGAGGGTCCCAAGCCATCAGTAAACCCTTTCCCCTTCTCCCCACCTCCACCACTCACCTCCAGCACATTCTTCTTGCTGGATTTGTCTTTGGCGGCCCAGGCGAGAGAGGCTCCCTTCAGCTCCACGGTGTACTCAGGGGTGGAGAGCTTGGAAGGCTGCCTCTGTGGGAAAGGGAGGAAGGGTTAGGGGAGCCCTCAGCTCAGACAGGCCTGCCATGGTGCCCTGACTCCAATCCACCAGGAACAGGAACAGGATTAGGTCACAGCTCTGGGGAAGGGGGCCCAAGTGTTCCTGGAACCCAGAAATCCCTGTACTTCTTAACCACAGAGCCTGTGGACTGGCTGGTCCTTTGCTGTCTGCCCACCCAGGAGAGGAAAGGAGAAAGGAGTGCAGTCCCCTTCCCTGAGAGCAGATATGCCCAGTCCCCAGCCTCTCTGCCCACCAGGCTGGAGCTGTCCACCCTCAGGGACTGCTCCCCATGTCCAGCATGCCTGGAAGTGCTTGTTCTGGGGTGAACCCGCTGTCACCACCCTCTGCCAAAGTCCAGCTCTCTTGACACTCATGTTCCACTGTCTCAGACCTAGCCCTCGACAAGCCAGACCAGGTGAAAACCCTCAAAAGTCAGGAGCAGATGGGGTGGTCTCTGCCCTGGGGACCTGGGCCTCACCAGGCCGCCTGCAGCTGAGGTCTTTGAGTCCTTGAAGAAAGTCAGGACGCCGCCCTCCAGCACTGTCCAGGAGGCACTCCAGTGCTTCTTCCTAGGAGGGGTGGGGAAGGGAGGGGGTGGCAGGGCTTGGATTTGGCCCTGGGCTAAGGCGCCCCTCCCACCCTCAGGAGCAGGGCACAGAGCTTAAGAACACAGCTTGGGGCAACCAACTGTGAGGGGCTCCCAACTCTTAACACCTGGTAGCCAAGGGACCTTGGGCAAGTCACTTTATCTCTCTGTGCCTCAGTGTCCTTACAGTGACTCTGATAAGGTCACTCTGAAGATTAACAAGAGCCTGGCACACAGGAGTGCTCAGTGAAGGCCCTCAGTGAGGCCCACCTCCCTGGTCTGGGTGCAGACGGGCACTCACCGGAGCCGCTTTCCCTTGTCCACCATCTTGGTGCGATGGAGCACGCCTGCCTTGTCCAAGGTTTTGATCTGAGAGAGAGAAGGGGGAAGAGGAGGCAGTCAACGGGGTGAGCCACAGGAGGCAGGGCTAGTCTCCCCCTCAGCCGGCAGCTCCCCGCAGGCTGGGCCTGAGTCTCCACTGACCCTCTTCACAGCAGGAGAGATTTCTTCCCAGATCCCAAGCCCATCTAACTCTGTGCCTGGGATGACCCTGACCCAGGTTCATTCAACCCAGGCTCGTGCTGGGGCTATGGGGAGATATGCCCGACCCAGTCCCAGCCCCCAGGACCTCCAGAAACCCCCTATTTCTTCTGTGGGGGTCCTGCCAGGGCCTACATGCCCGTTCCCTTACCTTCTCCTCAGGGGGGCTGGCCTGAGCTGGGGTCTCACTGTCTTGGCTGGATTTGCGGATGGTTCGAGGGGCAGGGACAGGGACCTGGGGAGAAAGACACTGTCGTATATAATGCCCTCCTCCCTCCCCGGCACACTCGCTTCCCCAGTTGGTTACCTGGGGCAGCTCCCACTGAACGGAGGCATCCTCTGGGTTGTAGAAGTAGGGCTTCCCGTGTTGGTCCTCCAATCTCACCCACTGTGGGGAGAGGGATGGTCAGGGCTCCCAGCCCACCTCATGAGATGGGGGGGAAAGGTGCCTTTAAAGCAGAGCCCAACATAGCCCTAAGGGGTTTGGAGGGGCGGGGGCAGGTGAAGCTGTGTCTCAGGCTAGCTTGGAGCCCGCAGAGGAGCTGCAGTTTAGAATATTAAGAGGAGCTACTAGTGAGAAAGGGTTGGAGGAGTGACCCTGGAGCTGTCTCGGCCCATCTGCCCTGCCCCTACCTGCTCTTGAGTGAAGTTGTTGGTGTAGAGCGTCTGCCCGTCCAGGCCAACGTGGCAAGACCAGCCGGGGGGCGTGGCCAAGGGAGAGGTGGGCGCGGGCTCACTGAAGGAGCCCACGGGGGAATAGTCCTCCTCGGGGTAACTGGTCAGCGACTCCGGGTAGTCAGTCTCGGGAGTGGGAGGCTACAGAGAGCAGAAGCTGGAGTCAGAGGGTCTCGGAGCCAGTGCAGACCCCTGGCCCCGCCCTTTCGGACCAGGCCTCGCCCCATCACCGGCAGTCCTGGGTCTGTGGGGAGCAGGAGGCGGGGTCAGAGGCCCTCAGAGCCAGCCCCGCCCACCCGGCCAGGCCCCGCCCCTCACCCTCTGGTCCCTGGGGCTGGCGGGGCTCAGGCCCGGCTGCATCTCCAGCTCGTCCTCGGGCTCGTCCTCGTCCTCGGGCTCGTCCTCCCAGGCCGTCTCTCCCGTCAGCGGGTTGTAGAAAAACACTCTGCGGCTCTCCTCATCCCAGTACTGGCCCCACTCGGTCTCGAGGCTCTCGCGGCTGCTCACCGAGGCCGGGGAGGTGGCCGGGCTGGCGGCACCCTCGGCAGCCTCGAAGGGCGACTCCCAGGTGGTGACGCCCGTATCTGGGTTGTAGTAGTAGGGGCGCCCGGTGTCCGCGTCCGTGTGCGTCTCCCACGCCGGGCCAGGGCCGGGGGCCGCGGCCGGGCCCGGTGAAGTGACCGAAGGCTGTCTCTCTACGTTGGCGTACACGGGCTCCGGGGGCTCGTCCACCTGTGTGAGGAGGAGGGAGACGTGACCTTCAGGGCAGCTCCGGGGTCACAGTCCCCACTCGGCCACTTGCCACCAGAGCGACCTTCAGCAAGTCACAGTACCTCTCTGCCTCAGTTCCCCCGGCCGCAAAATGTCTGCCCTGCCCTTTCCAGAAATTGTAGTGAAGAGAGAATGAGGAAATGTTCTTGAAAGTGCTTTGTAAAGTATGAAGTGCCCCAGATGCGTGGGACAATTACATTACTAACTTATTAACAATAATAAAATGTCAATAACCAAGTTCTCCCAGCTGTGCACTCACAGGGGCTAATCAAAGGTGGGGCAGGAACAGAGAAATAGCCTGGGGATCCACCCCTCCTCTGCCCCCATTCAGGTGCCATGGGGGCAGGGCCCTGCTGCATTCTACAGTCCCCACCAAGAGCCCCCACCCCTCCTTCCTTCCTGGCCCAGAAGGCTCTGGACTGGAATCAGTATTGCCTCTGGACTTGGAGCAGGAACTTCCTTGATGTGGGGTTTGCAGGCCTCAGAATCGATTCCAGATAAGAGAATGAGAGAGGAGAGCCGGATGGGAGGGAGAAAGGAGGGGCAGAGAAAGGTGAGCCCCCCTTTCCCCCTCCACAGGAAAGTGAGGCAGGCTGGAGGTTCAGTGACACAATATAAGCCTAGTCATGCGTAACACCCTCACAGCTCTCTGCTGCCTGTGGGGCAAAGTCTGAGCCCTTAACAGGGCACCAGAGGCCTCCATCACCTGCTGTCTTCCACCTTATTTCCTGCCACTCCTTGCCCCTAGCCTTGAACTTGAAGCCCCAGTAGCACAGAATTGCTGGAGGCCCCCACCCTCTCTGCTGTGTCTCCCACAGGCCTCAGCTCATTCACAGCCTTCCCAGGCCCAAACCCACCCCCTTCTCACTTGGCTGACTCCTATTCCTTCTTTAGGACTTAGCTCAGGTGTCAGGTTCCACACCTTTACTGAGATTTCTCCTGTGTGCTCACCATACCCTCAGCCCAGCGGATGGACAGATAACTACACGATCAAACCCCAGGCAGCAGAATAGCTCGGGGAGAGTAATACTGTTTTGTGCGACTGCATAATGGTACAAGGGAAAAGCAGATTTCAAAATGGTAAACTTAGCATAATTTCAATTTTGTGTTTTTAGAAACTCTCAAAAATGCTATCAAAGGTCATCTCTGGGCAGTGTAATTACAAAGACTGGATTTGTTTTTGTTTCATTTCTTTAAACTTTTCTGCAGACTCTAAATTTTGTACAATAAATCTTTTTTTCTAAATCATAGAAGTTCCTCTATTGCTGTGACATCTTCACTAAGCTGTACACTCCTCAAGGGGGGAAGCAAGGCCTGCTCAAGGCGGCCTCTCCTGGGCCTTAGGCAGGCGCCTAAAGAAACATTCGTGTCCAAGAAAGATTCGCCTGCTCTGGGCCAGACACCGTTCTAGGTACTGGGGATGCAGCAGTGAACAAATGGATACAATCCCTGCCCCGGCAGGGCTGGCACTCTAGTGCACATGTGTGTCAATGGTGGGGGGGAGTAGAGAGCCAGGCAGGGTGAGGATGAAATGCACAGCATGTCAACTATGATGGCTACTAATAAGAAAATAAACACACTCTCGGAGAAGGGAGGTTGCAGGTTTAGGCAGGGTGCCAGGTCCCAGGCACACAGCGGGCAGCAAGAGCTGGGTGCACCAGTCCACCAGTTCCTCACTCCTCTCTCTCACCCCACAAGCTCCTGTGTGGCTGAGACAGGACCCTCCACCCCCCTTCTCCTTTCCCTCCTTCCACTACAGCCCTCCTGTGGCATCCTGTATTCAACCACCCCAGGCCGCTGACCCTCCCCCAAACACAAAAGGCATCTTCCCAACTCCATGCCTTTGCTCCAGCTGTTCCCTTGGCCTGGAACTCCCTGCTCTCATTCCCTTCCTACCCAAATCCTGCTCCTCCACTGGTGCTCAGCTCGCAAGCCTCACCTGGGAGAGGCCCTCTCCCTCTGGAGAGAAGTCTGACCCACTGGCACTCTAGTCATCGCTGTTAGGGCCCGATGGCATTCTGCCTTGGTGGTCAGGTCATTGTCCACCCATCTGCCTACCTTCTCTGCCCCCAAAGACAGGAGTTTCTTGAGAGCAGGACCCAGGATGATGTAACTGACCCCAGTCACCCCCTAGCAGGTGGTCCAATGCCCTGAAGCACACAGCTGATCAACCAAAAACACCTGCTTGAGTACACAAGTCAAGTCCATGCCAAACGTCAGCCACAAACAAAAAACAAACACACCTGACACTACAGGAGAGACTAGGGTTAGCTTTGAGCAAGAACTTCCTGAGAATGAGGGTTCAAGCACAGGGACCAGGAGATTCCATGGGAGAACAGGCTGGAGGCAGAGGGCAGAGGAAGGTGATGACCACACACACCTCCTTCCCACCCTAGCTGAACCCACCGAGACAGTGGCCTCGCCCATCCCTGGGACAGGGGTTGGAAGGGCCCACAGAGATGGACGAGCCAAGGAAGGAGCTAGGCTGTTTGGAGTGAGGATTTCCACCTGGCCGGGCTGCTGGCCTTGGCTCTGGGTCCTCGGAGAGTCCCAGGCGGGTGGGGCTGATGGGGTCTCGCATGAGGAACACCCCCAGCAGGTACAGAGGAGATTTGGAAGGTAGAAGTTTAGGCCCCCCCATGTGACAGGGTTGGCACGAGAAAGAGAAGATGCAGAATCACCCTATGGGGCTCCAGACTGCAGATCAGAGGCCAAATGGGGGTGGGGCAGTGCCCCTTTGGAGGAAGCACATTCTAAGGATTGGGGAGGCCCCAAAGACACAGGCTGAAGGTAGTGAGGGGCCTTCACTGGAGGTGAGCAAGCCAAGTCCAACCCCCCGTGAGGGATGCTGCAGCCCTGTGGAGGGAGCTGGACTGCAGCAGCCCTGAGGCCCCTTCACACTCTAGAACTCTCTGTCGAGCCCCCACAGTGCTAAGAGAGAGGGGCTTTCCTCTCCTGGCAGAGCCTCAGTCAGGATCAGACCAGTTCTCTGGAGGCCAGGTGGGCCCAGTCCCTCCATGCCCTTGGCCTTCAAGGGGGAGCTGGCCCAGGTTGAGCAGGGCCTGCCACCCCCGCCCGCAACTCCTGGAGGCCCAGACGAGACACAGACGCAGCCCATCAACAGGGGCCTCACTAGGGCACCAAGTGCTCCTGGGGCCCAGACCCCAGTCATGACAGAGACTCAGGGGACAAGGAGAAGGTAAGAGGAAGTGGTCTCCCTCCCTCAGGCCAGAGGACAGAGCCAGGAGGGCCCCCATCTCACCACACCCAGCTGTCCGGCCCCCAGCACTCCTCCTGGTTCCAATTCCCTCCCCTTGCCCATGAGCAGGCGGTGGGCCTGCCTCTCTTTCCCCAGGCTGATCATCACCTCTCAGCCTCCCTCTGCAGCCCTTCTCACACAGCAGGGCCTCGGAGAAGGAAAGAGGACAGAAGGGAGGAGGCCCCACCTCCGTGAGACTCCCTGCTCTGAATCTCGGCCCACCCAGCTCCTAACCAGGCCAGAGGACGAAGGCCTGCTGGCGGCCCCTTGACCCCATAGGCCCCTCTGCATCCCGATGAGAGGCTGAACTCCCTCCCCGCCCCCAATGCCAGGGGCCCCTACCTGTACCCGCAGGGCCCGACTCTGCCTTCTGGTCAGCTTGGCTATCATGTCCACCATCCTGTCCCCTCTGAGCTGCTGGGACAGAGCCCCGGGAAGGTTTTGGGGGTGGAGCCAAGGGGCACAACCCCAGGGCTGGCACAGGGCAAGAGGGAAACAAGAAGTTGCCTCGAGATGGCGGGAGGCTGAGCCTCCAGCCCATTTCCTGTCAGGGCTGCGGAAGTGCTGCCTGAGACAGAGTGGGGGGGTGGGGGTGCCTCAGGTTGGGGGTATTTTTTTGTGTCCAGGAACACCACTGGCTGCCCCACTCAGTGCTCTGATATTGAGGAGTTCTGAATCCCAGGCCCAGACACAGCCACAGAGCAGGCTCCACAGAGGATGCACTGGAGCTGTGGTTGGGGGAGGGGTAGGCTGCACAGACGGAGGCAGGCAGAGGGGACAGCTGGGTGCTGGGCCCTGTGCTGGCATAGACAGGACAATGAGTGGCCGTCAACTCCCCCAAGGCCCAGGGAGGATGTCAAGGGAAAGAGGAAGCTTGTGTGTGTGGGGGTGTCTCAAAGAGGAAGGGGTCTGGGCAGACGTGGTATCGGAGGGATCCAGTGTCTGGATCCCTCCAGCCACGTGGAGGACAGGAGGGATTCTGACCACACCACCATCCACCCGCCTGACCACCTGAGTCCGCCTCCTCCAGCCTCAGTCACCAGGACGCATGTGCCCACCCCGCCTGTGAGTGCACATACACACACAAGCATGCCCATGCCCCTCTGCCACTCTCCAAGGACCCAGAGAAGGGGGACAGGGACTAGCTGCCCCCAAACCTACCCTAAGAGCTTCCTGCTGGCCTCCCTTCACTTCACCCCCTGACCAGGTGGGTGTTCAGACCCTGGCCATGCACAATGGACACCGCATGTCCTGGGTGAGATGCTGCAGCCCCTCCTCCAAGCCCTGGGGGGCCAGTTTGTTTCACTAACCTCCTCAGAGGTGCTCCCTATCAGCCCCAAGTGCCAGGCAGCACCCAGCCCACCCACCCGCCAGTCCAAAGCCTCTCCCACAGTGGCTGCTTGGCTCCCAGTTCAGGCTCTGACCCCACCCTCCCACCCTGGATCCTGGCCCCTCATCTCCCATTCTTCCACATCAGTAATCCCCCTGCTCCTAGCCCTGGCTCTCCTTTCTTCTCTGCCCCTGTCCCCAGGCCTCTCCTCCCCTGCACCCACTGTGGGCTTAGGACACGGACATCCAAGTAGGGCCAGGCATGGTATGGATTTGGGATGTGGGACACGTGGGGAGACCACATCCAGAGCAAGTCCAGGCCCTATGGCCCACCCTGCCCTCAAAAGCTCTACCATCACTCTCCTACCGTCCCCTGGGCCCTGACTCAGAAGCCCAGAACCCTAGGGGCAGACGAGTCCCCAGAGAGGGCTGGAGTCTTCACACTTGTCACACACATGATATATCACACTGCCCCCACCCTGAGGGCCAGGGACCACACACACACACACACACACACACACACACACACACACACACACCAAGTCCCTAAGAGAGATGGAGCCAGGCCCAGGAGATGGGAATAGCCTTTGTAAATTCCAGAGCAGCCGGAAACTCTGAGCCACCGGGAAGGAACTGGGGTGGGGAAGGCAGAGAGGAAGAGAAGTGTGGGAACCCAGGCCCTCAGCACTGCCATGAAGGTGGAATCGGGGAGCAGGGTCTCCTTGTGGCAGGGACAAGGAATGACATGTGGGGAGCTGGGACCACAGAAAAGGCAGCCAGCACCCTACCCACTGCTCTTCCCCAGTAACAGCCTGGCCCCCAGGCCTGGGGTCTTCCCGCCGGCTCTGGCTCCACACGACATGGACCCAGCAAAACCCACACAGCTCTGGCCTGCTCTTGGTCACAGAGATTGGCCCCTCAGGCCTCCTGTCTGGGCTTCCTCGCCGCCAGGGAGAGGAGGTGGTGACCACAGTGGCTCCCCAGTGGGGTCCTCCTCCCTCAACCACACCCTCACACCTCCAGACGCATATGGGGCGGGAGGTGACAGAACAAGCCAGCTGCCATCACTCATCTCTCCAGCCCTCTGTCCTCACCTCTTCTCTCCAACACCCTCACAGGAGTGTTGGGGCAGGAGGAGGCACAATAGGAAAATCCTATCAGCTCTCTGGGGCCAGAGGCCAAAGCAACGCCCACAAACCATCGACTAGAGCCCAGGGACTGTCTCAGGGGGCTGGGGAGGGGACAGGACCTCCTAGGCTGACTCTGAGCCTGCTCCATGCCACCCGGGCTGGGTGGATGGGGAGTGGGAGTGATTTGTGATCTTTGCCTCCAGGGCTTAGCCGTGTGTACAGAACCGCCGCTGTCCTGGCGGCCGTCCCTCCCCTGAGCACGCCTTCCCCAGGACAGAGTCCAGACCTCACTCCATATCCACCCCTCGCCCTGAGTGACGTGTCCACCTACGTGCAGTGGGGAGGCTGGGGGTCGCCCCGTAGAATCTGATGTGACTGGTTTGGGCTGTGGTCTGGGCAACGCATGTTGTGCTAAAGCCCAGGGGGCTCAGTGTCCTTTTGTCACATGCAAGTAGCATGAGATTCCAAACACAGCGGCCTGAAGGGAGGCTTTCCTCTTGGGTTTGGGGCAGAAGCTTCCTTCCGTTAAAAGGAAAAAGAATGGAGCAGGAGTCCGGAGACCCGGCTTTCTGTGTAGACTTCTCCCTGAGTGACCCCCCTGAATCTTGGGCCTCAGTTTCTTCATCCATAGAATGGGCTCTCTCTCCTCCTAAACCGGTTTCTGTGAAATTAGTTAGTTTCTGAGAAAGCCGAGCAGGCACCTGAGTTCCCACACCCACTGGGACACGGGGAAGAAAGCAGGGCTGCACTTCTGCTTTTCTGGCTCTGGGTTTCAATTGAGTGCCTTTGCCTCCGGACTCTGCCCCCAGCCTCTTGGTGATCTCATGCGGCTGCCTGCTGGGCCCGCTCCTCCAGGGTGCGGTGGAGCCTGGGGTGGAGCCCCTTCACGGCTCACACCTCCCGTGCTGTGAGTAAGGCTGGCAGGCACCCAGGAGGTCTCTTGCTGCTGGGCCGGGAGAAATTGGAAACAGTCTGTCAAGGAACCTGCCGACCAGCGAAGGCCATGGTTATGAGCCAACCTAGGGAGGTGGGAAAGCATGACGGGGGTGGTCACCTTCTGCCCGCCCTCTCAAACGTATCTGCACCTGCACCCACCATTCCTTCTCCCTCTTCCAATGGACGGCCCAGGGTCCCGTGTCCAAGCCAACCTCCCCATCCTGGGCCTGGGGGGACCCCATTGCCTCTCACTTGCTCAGAAGCTGCCTCACCTCAAATCTTCTACCAGACTGCCTCTGTCCCTCTGGCATTTCAACAAGCTCAACCAAGGTCTCTTCATCTTAAAAAGGAAAAGTTTGCCCCTGGACTCAGCTCTCCCTTCCTCCTTTTCAGAGCCAACTTCTTGAAGGAGTGTGTGCGCCCATCGTCTCGCTCACTCGCTCACTTGGACACCCAGCCCAGCTCAGGTCTCCCACAATTTCTCTGGTGACAAATTCGGTCCTTGTCTGGCCTGACTCCTCTCCCGTGCTTAGTCCTTACAATCCTGTCTGTCCTGGGCTGCCTCTGCCTGTGGCCTCTTGGTCTGCCTCCTCTTCCTCTGGCTGCTCAGCTCTTCGGGACTGCATTCCTCTTCCTCTGCCCATCTCCTCCATGCTTGGTGTCTCATCTTTGTCTCTCACTCTACTCTCCTGGGGAAGCTCAACTGGCTTTATTAGGTTGACAACTCACAACTCCATCTCCGGGAGCATAAATCCAACTGCCCACCTGGACGTCCTCGGTACACTTCAAAAGCTGTACGTCTCAAACCAAGTTCATTTTCATCCTTCTCCTTCTCCTCGTCTCAGCATCATCTCTGTTGCTCAAGCAGGGACCTAGAGTCATCCTTGATTCCTGCTTCCTTTGCATCATCTGTCACTGAGCCCTGGTGACCCGACCTGCCTAAGCCTTTCAGATCTACCAGTCCCCTGGGGAACACAGGGATCAGGGGAACAGGGGAACACCACTACAAGAAAGCAAACCTTCACATCTAAAATCGACGTTCCACAGGGCAACTGGTCTGATCAGGGCAGAAGGAAAGGGAGGGGGTTGTCAAGAGAGATTTAAGGGACAATTAGCTGCAACGCATGACCCTTGACTGGATCTTCCTGTTCAAACAAACTGACTGTGAGAGGCTTGTTTTAGGACAATGGGAGAAATTTGACTATGGCCTGGGTCTTGGATGATGTTAAGGAATCAATGTTAGTTTTGTTAGATATAACAATGGTATCATGGTTATGGAGAAAAGCATCTTTTTTTTTTTTTTTTGGTGAGGAAGATTAGCCCTGAGCTAACATCTGTTGCCAATCCTCCTCTTTTTGCTGAGGATGATTGGCCCTGGGCTAACATCTGTGCCCATCTTCCTCCACTTTATATGTGGGACACCATCATAGCATGGCTTGATAAGCAGTGCATAGGTCTGTGCCCGGATCTGAACCTGGGAACCCCGGGCCTCTGGAAGCAGAGTGCGCGAACTTAACCACTACACCACTGGGCTGGCCCCAAAAAACATATTTTTTAAGAGACACATGCTGAAGTTTTTAGGGGTGAAATGTGATGAAGTCTGGAATTTATTATTTCTTGTCAAGAAAAATAAAAGAAGATAGAACAAACATGGCAAATAGTAATGGTTAAATCTAGGTAGTAGGTATAACTATATTCATTTCAATATTCTCCTTGCTTTTTTGTATGTTTGAAAAATTTCATAATAAAAAGTAAGAAAAAATCTCCTTCACTCTTTTACTGTTCCGCATCCTCAGTGTTACTCCTCTACGAGGTATTCATTATTTCTCCTCTGGACACAGACTGGTCCTTCCAGCTCTTCCCCACTTCCACTCTATCCTAGACAAAGTAATTTCTCTTCCTTGAAGCTGCAGCTCTGGGGCCAGGGATTCTGGAAATACGGCAGCTTAAACCTGTCCTGCTTCTCCTGTTCTCCTCACTGCCCCCCTCTACTGTCCAAGACAAGTGGCGCCTGGGGTAGGTGGGGGGGGGGCGGGCAGGACTGGCTGGCACAAGTGAGAGTGTCTGAGACAGAGGCTAGAACTTGGGAAACCCCGGGGCTGACTGGGCCCGCCATAGCACCCTTGGAGGAAGGCAGGGTGACCCTCCTGCCAGACCC